TGTGTGTGTGTGTGTGTGTGTGTGTGTGTGTGTGAGAGAGAGAGAGAGAAAGAGAGAGAGAGAGAGAGAGAGAGAGAGAGAGAGAGAGAGAGAGAGAGAGAGAGAGAGAGAGAGAGAGAGAGAGAGAGAGAGAGAGAGAGAGAGAGAGAGAGGCAGACAGACAGGGACAGCGAAACAAAGAAAGGCAAACAAACATACATACAGACACAAAATGCCAAAAATCCAAACAAACACACAGCCATAACCAAACAGAAATCTCACCCCTCGCTCTCACCCCCCTCCTCCTCCTCCCTCTCATCTTACCTACACTCACACGTAAGAACACAGGAAGAACGAAAGAATAGAGATGTTGGCAGGAAATGGGGGACTTAGGGTACAGGAGAACAGCTGATGTAAAAGGTACGTGAGATATTACGGTTAATAAAAACGTACTTGGGAGAACACCGGGAGAAGAACAGGGGGTAGAGAGATGTAACATGATAACGAAGAAACTACGAAAAAAGTAACAAATGACATGACCAAAACGTAAAAATTAATGGTGAGACATGGGAATGAAATCAATAAAAAGGAAATATATGCTGAGACGTGATAATGAATAAAAACAAAATAAAATACATGAGACAAAATATTGAAAAAATACAAATAAATAAATTACGAAACACGATTACGAAAACACGAAAAAAAATGCGCGAAACGAGGTGGAAACACTGACGACACAACACACAGACCTACCTCAAAAAATAAATAGACCTATGCTATTAATAAAAAAATAAAAATAAAAATAATAAAAAAAAACAATAACAAATTATATATAAAACTTCCATTGAACAAAAACTGAACAACAATTGAACAACACTCTCTTCTTAACTGCTGGGAAACAACCTCAAGCAACAAGTAACTGTTTATTTAGTGGGAACAAAAAAAAATCAATAAAAGCGACCTACGGCACGGGAGGTCGTGCGTGAAAAAGTGTGTCAAACAACGCATCGGCAACGAATCGTAAACCGTTCTCTTTTTCGTATATATCATCGCTGTCTCGGTGTTGACATCCACGTAGGTCTGTCTTGATGTGTCATTTATTTTTTTTCCACAAGATAGTGTCAACGTAAAAACAGTTCCTTTTCACTTCGACGATTTTGTATATAATGTCCGTAACGTAGCATATCACATTAACCTCTTTACAAATAGCCTCAATATGATGGCGAAACATAGCATATTATATCATCAATGCCTTGCGAAACATCGTTATATAATGCCTAAACATGGTATCTTATATTAATAAGATGCCCTGAGAAACAGCGTTATAAAATGCCTAAATATGACATCTTCTAACACCAATGCCTTTACGAAAAACTTCATATAATACCTATATCTAATGCCATAACTTCTTCCACACATTTCCCAATTTGCATTCCATTCTTTCTCTCTCTCTCTCTCTCTTTCCACCTTCTTCCATTCTCCCCTTCTCATCATCACTTCCCTTTTCCTCGCCTTTCCTTAATGAATCCCTCCCCTTCCCTTCCCTTCTCCTCTCCTCCACTCCCCTCCCCTTCCCTCCCCTTCCCTCCCCTCCATTCCATTCTTTCTCTCTCTCTTTCTACCTTCTTCCATTCTCCCCTTCTCATCATCCCTTCCCTTCCCTCGCCTTTCCTTGATGAACCTTCTCCCCCCTTTCCCCTCCCCTCCCCTCCCCTCCCCTCTCCCCTCCCCTTCCCTTTCCCCTCCCCTCCCCTCCATTCTTTCTCTCTCTCTTTCCACCTTCTTCCATCCTCTCCTTCTCATCATGACTTCCCTTCCCTCGCCTTTCCTTAATGAATCCCTCCCCTTCCCTTCCCCTCCCCTCCCCATTCCCCTTCCCCTTTCCCCTGCCCCCTTCCTCCCTCCCCCCCCCCTTACAATGACCGATTCCCGGAAGCCCCGAAAGGCCCCAAAACAACAGATGTTCTGCAGGTGACAAGTGTGGCGGCGGCGGCGGAGGTGCAGATTGCGTCAGGCACAGCTGTAAATAAATTGGGAAACAGGGAGGTGGTGGAGGGTGAGGGGAGGTGGAGGGGTAGGGGGGAGAAGGGGGGTAGGGGGGAGGTGGTGGAGGGAGAGGGGAGGTAGGGGGGAGGGAAGGGGAGGTAGGGGGGAGGGAAAGAGGAGGTAGGGGGGAGGGAAAGAGGTAGGGAGGAGAAGGGGTAGGTGGAGGGAAAGGGGAGGTAGGGGGGAGAGGGGAGGTAGGGGAAGAGGTAGGGTAGAGGGGGAGAGGGGAGGAGGGGAATGGGTGGTTGGGGGAAGTGTGAAGGTCTGTAGGAGGTGATGTTGAGTTGCGAATCTGGATAACAGAAAGGGAGGGAGAGAGAGGGAGAGGGGGGAGGAGAGGGAGAGGGGGAGAGAGAGAGAGAGATAGACGAGAGAGAGAAGAGGAGAAGGAGAGAGAGATAGAGAGAGTGAAGTTGAGATGAAGGATGTGAGATTTGAGAGAGAGAGAGAGAGAGAAAGAGAGAGAGCTAGAAAA